GTGAGGAGATAGAAGGAATTAGATCCCAATTCCATGCATCAGAGTGTGAAATCTAAAACTCTCTCCTCATGTGGGTGATGTTTGGAGCTTGCCCATAGAATTTTTCCCTACTGAAAATCATAATGCTCTCCCCCTACTCCTGCCTCTACCACCCCTCACCAGGCAAACAGCTCGTAGAGGTGAGTGGTTGGTTCTCTGAACTCTAACTCCACCCCTGACAGCCTTCATTCCAGGCTTCCCTGTATAGCTCTGCACTGGGGCTGGGGATATAGGGCCAGGGCCCTCTGGGAGCTCACCAGGCACTCAGGCAACCAGACTAGAAAGGAAGTCTGGATAGATAGTGTATTAGTCTCTTTTCATGCTGCTGATAAAGACATACCTGAGCCTGGGCAATTTATAAGAAAAAGAGGTTTAATGGACTCACAGTTCCATGTGGCTGGGGAGGCCTCACGATTGTGGCGGAAGGTGGAAGGCAGGTCTTACATGGTGGCAGGCAAGAGAGAGAATGAGAACCAAGCAAGAGGGGTTTCCCCTTATAAAACCATCAGATCTCGTGAGACTTTTTTTTTTTTTTTTTTTTTTTTTGAGACGGAGTTTTGCTCTTGTTACCCAGGCTGGAGTGCAATGGGGCGATCTCCACTCACCGCAACCTCCGCCTCCTGGGTTCAGGCAATTCTCCTGCTTCAGCCTCCTGAGTAGCTGGGATTACAGGCATGTGCCACCATGCCCAGCTAATTTTTTGTATTTTTAGTAGAGACGGGGTTTCACTATGTTGACCAGGATGGTCTCGATCTCTTGACCTCGTGATCCACCCGCCTCGGCCTCCCAAAGTGCTGGGATTACAGGCGTGAGCCACCGCGCCCGGCCCTCATGAGACTTTTTCACTACCACGGGAACACTATGGGGGAAACCACCCCCATGATTCAATTATCCCCCACTGGGTCCCTCCCACAACATGAGGGAATTATGGGAGCTACAACTCAAGATGAGATTTGGTTGGGGACACAGCCAAACCATATCAGATGGAGATGGAGTTAGAGTGCATGCAGAGCTCCCTCCTAAGCTCCCTGTCTCTGCCTCCCTGTTAAGTCCCTACTTTCTCAAACACTGTCCCATCTGGAGAACCTGTCATACTCTGTACCCAGAGGAACTTTGCCTGCCTCTCAAGGGACTTCTCAATTACATTATAAATATTTCAATGATCTGCCTCATCTCTCTAGTGAGGCATCAGCTACTTGAGGGCAGGCACTTTCTCAAACTTGTGTTTACATAGTCTGCTGTCAAGCCTAGCACTTAGCAGGCACCAATAAATGCCTATTGAGTGAACAAATATTAAATACTGTGTATCAGGGAATCTAAGATACCATCAATTCTAAAATGCACCTATGTATTTCTGCCATTAAGAAAGAGAGAAAACACTGCTGTTGACACAGGGCACTACGCTTTCTTCTTAGTTATCATGTCATTTTCCAGTTATTGAAAGAGGTTTTTTAGACTTAGCCATACATTTCACCAGGTGTTACTCTTGTGGACACAGAATGCCAGGAAGCTTGCATTTACTGACTTCAGGAAGATATTACTTTCCTCTGGGCCTCCGTCTTCCCATCTGTGAGATGGGGATACTGACACCTCCTGTGTGAGTTCTCAGTGAGAAGCGAGTGAGGTCATGCAGGAAAGTGCTCAGCCCCCTGTGTGTCTAAAAAGTGGCCCAAAAAGGTGCTCTTGGTGATGCCCAAGGGCTTCTACCAGCTAGCTATCACCTCGAAGTCGAGATCCAGCCAGGTAGCATGGAGAGCCCCGAAGGTAAACCCTCCGCTCAGCTCCTCCTTCTCCCTGTGCCAAGGGCAGTGTCTCGGCTGGCATCGTTAGCATCAGAGAGAAGACTCAGCCCGGGAGGCTGGGGGCCCTGCCTTGCTCCCTCCAGGGACAGACCCACCTCTGGGGTCCCCCACACACCTTTCTCCTTTCACTTTGCATCTCGACTCCTCATCCAAAGCCCAATTTCTCAAGCTCTTTGGTTGGGGCTAACCGCCTTTCATGTCTATGGTTTTTTATTTTTCCTTTTGAGACAGCCTCATTCCATTTCGCAGGCTGCAGTGCAGTGGCGCCATCTCGGCCAGCTGCAGCCTCCACCTCCTGGGTTCAAACGATGCTTGTGCCTCAGTCTCCTGAGTAGCTGGGACTACAGGCACACGCCACGATGCCCAGCTAAGTTTTGTATTTTTTAATAGAGGCGGGGTTTCATCATGGCTGGTCTCAAACTTCTGACCTCAAGTGATCCACCCGCCTCAGCTCCCAAAGTGCTGGGATTACAGGCGTGAGTCACTGTGCCTGGCCTTTATTTGGTTTTATTGGTCTTCCTGGGCAACTTGCCCTGTAAAATAACAGCATTTCATATTCAGAGGTGAGAGCTGGAAACGTGAAGGCATTCGGAGCTCATTTACAACCAGTGGAAGCACAGCGTCTTGGCATCAGAATAACCGGGCCAACACTACAGCTTCCTGAGCGCCTGCAGCCCACACAGAGGATGCCAAACGTCTACTCGCCGTGGACCCAGCCTAAGCCTGGAGAAGGGAACTGTGATGGTCTGTGGCAGGGGTCTCCAGCCTTTCCGGCACCAGTGACTGGTTTTGTGCAAGACAGTTTTTCCACAGGCCAGCGCTGGGGGTGGTATTGTTTCGGGATGATTGGAGCACGTGCCATGTATTTGCACTTTGTTTCTGTTCTTACTGCACTGTGATATATAATGAAAAAATAATTATACAACTGCACTATCATGTAGAAGCATTGGGAGCCCGGAGCTTGTCTTCCTGCAAGTAGAGGGTCCCATCTGGGGGTGATGGGAGACAGTGACAGATCCTCAGGCGTGAGACTCTTACAAGGAGTGTGCCACCTAGGTCCCTCATATGCGCAGTTCACAACAGGGTTCCCGCTCCTAGGAGAATCCAATGCCAAGGCTGATGGGAAAGGAGGCGGGGCTCAGGCGGTGACGTAACAGTGGGGCGTGGCCGAAAATACAGAAGAAGCTTCACTTGCTTGTCTGGCCGGCAGCTCATCTCCTGCTTCGAGGCTGGGTTCCTAACAGGGACTTGGGTTCCCCTGATCTATGGGATCTAGAGTTCTAATCCCAGTAGACCTGTCTGCTACCCAGGGCTCTGCCGTGGCACAGGCTGCCTGGTCTCAGTATTGCTTCCAGGACGTTGCAGAGCTGCTGGAACACAGTAGCTGCTCAGTTAACATTAGTGCCAGCAAGAAAGGAAGTCTCAGGGCTGCTATAACAAACTGCCACAAACCGAGTGTCTTCAAAGTACAGAAATGTATGCTCTCGTGGTTCTGGAGCCTGGAAGTTCAATATCAAGGTGGGGGCTGTTTTCTTCTGGAGGCTCCGAGGGAGATGTCCAGGCCTGTCTCCCAGCTTCGTGTGGCTCCCGGCGATCCTTGGTTTCTTAGCTTACAGACACATCACTCCCATCCGCCTGCCTCTCTGTGCCTGTGCATCCCAAATGTCCTCTCCTTTCTCTTGCAAAGACCCCAGTCATTCAGTTTAGAGCCCACCCATTGCCTCTAGACCCTTAACTCAATTATGTCTGTGAGACCCTTATTCCAAACCAAGCCCTGTTGTGCAGTTCCATGCAGACGTGAATTCTGGGGTGACACTGTTCGGTCCCAGTGCAGAGGGAGGTCCATACGGAGATGCAGAGGGAGTTCCTCCACACCCCCCAGTCCCGAGCTCATGCAGAGAAACTGACCAGCCTGAACAGAGTTTCACCACCTGGGCTGGGATGAGCAGGTCCAGAATGTGGAGGAGGGATAGAAGGAAGAGTTAGGATGAAGGAGTGGAGAGTTCACGGGGGGCTCTGACCCAGGCGAGGATCTGCAAGCTCTGCCCTGCCCAGCCTACACAGAACTGAATGGGTGGAGGGGATGAGGCTCCCCATTACCAGGGCCCAGCTTTGGGCCCCAGGAAACTCCCCCTTTCTCTACTTATCTCCTGGCCCCCCGACCCTCCTCTCACTCCTTCCCTACCCCTTCAAGCCCCAGTAGCTTTCAGTCCCAAACCCAACAACTTCCCTTAAGCCTAAAGGGTGCTAAGCTATGACCACCTTGGAGGTGCTTTACTCTGGAAAGAATTAAATCTTTTTTTTTTTCCTTTGAGACACAGTTTCGCTCTTGTTGCCCAGGTTGGAGTGCAATGGCACAGTCTCGGCTCACTGCAACCTCCACCTCCCAAGTTCAAGCGATTCTCCTGCCTCAGCCTCACTAGTAGTTGGGATTAAAGGCATGTGCCACCATGCCCAGCTAATTTTGGTATTTTAGTAGAGACAGGGGTTCGCCATGTGTTGGTCAGGCTGGTCTCGAACTCCTAACCTCAAGTGATCCACCCACCTCAGCCTCCCAAAGAGCTGGGATTACAGGCGTGAGCTACCGCACCTGGCCCAAGAATTAAATCTTAAAACAACAGAAATAAACTGGAAGGGGGTTTACCCATGGGTCAAGAAGTATTTTTGGGCATCAGGCCTTCTCAGTCAGGTCCTCAATGATCCTCTTTTTGGCACAAAAAGTGAATCAGCACTATTTGTAATTTCAAATTTAAAATTGCAAAAGAGAAAGCAGACATAGACGTTCACTTTGGGTTTTCCATATGCTATCACCAAAACAGTGGGTCACTGGGCACCATGGTTCACATTTGGAATCTCAGCACTTTTGGAGGCCAAGGCAGGAGGATCGCTTGAGGCCAGGAGTTCAAGACCAGCCTGGGCAACATAATGAGATCCTCATCTCTATAAAACATTAAAAATTAGCCAGGTGTGGTGGTACTTGGCTGTAGTTCCAGGTACTGGGGAGGCTTGGTGGGAGGATCACTTGAGCCCATGAGGTTGACGCTGCAGTGAGCCATGATCACGCCGCTGCTCTCCAACCTGGGTGATGGATGGAGACCTTGTCTCAAATAATTATAATAACAACAATCATAAGCATGTCAATTCAGTCCACACAGTTACCTGAGAAAGATGCAGTGTATTCTGGGGGGGTGATAGTGACCCATCCACTCAGTCCCACAGGTGGTGTGGCCTCAGAAGCCGTCCCTCATACACATGGGCTTCTTTCAGAGGCGAGGCATTCTGGCTTCGGGGAGGAGATCTGGGTTTCCGGAGGGATCTCCGGCATGTCCTTTGTTGCTTCCGCCTATTGACAGTCTCTTCCCGCCACCGGGAAGGTTCTATCTGTGGTATTTGTGAAGGATGATTGACTACAGGGATCTTTGTTGTGCTATCAGCCATAATTATTTTAATTCAAACATACTCTGGTATAGGACTGACATCATAAATGCTGTTTTCTAGAACAAATAGCTGTCAGGGCTGTCAAGCAGGGCTGCTTACTGTTTTACATCATTACAATATTTAATTTCAATGCCGCTCTTTTTATTCTCACCCAGCACTTTTCAAGACTGTTTCTTCCACTTCTATCTGGAAAAATGGAAACCAGGAAAGCAAGAAGGAAGATGTTCTTTCACATCAAAGAAAATATTGACTTGGAAGCTAAATGAAAAAGAAGGAAAGAGAGAGAGAGGAGAGAAGGGAGGAAGGAAGGAGGGAAGGAAAGAGAAAGAAAATGCTGGTAATTCAGTATCAGAGAAGAAATGAAAATTGGAGAAAAAGAAAAGAAGAGGAAGAAAGAGAGGAACCGTTACGGGAACTGAAGCTTCCGATTAAGCCTGATCAAGATGACAACCTCCCAAAAGCACCGAGACTTCGTGGCAGAGCCCATGGGGGAAAAGCCAGTGGGGAACCTGGCCGGGATTGATGAAGTCCGGGGCAAGAAGCTGGAGGAAAGGGGCTTTGACAAGGCCTATGTTGTCCTCGGCCAGTTTTTGGTGCTAAAGAAAGATAAAGACCTCTTCCGGGAATGGCTGAAGGATACTTGTGGCACCAACGCCAAGCAGTCCCGCGACTACTTTGGATGCCTTCAAGAGTGGTGCGACACCTTCTTGTGATGCTCTCTGGTAAGCTCTCAATCCCCAGCCCTCATCCAGAGTTTGCAGCCAAACAGGGACTCCTCCCCATCCGCTACAAAGGAAAAGATTGCTATGTCGTTCTCACCTCCGATGTACTCCAGGGTCTTTGGGAGTTTCCTCCCCTAACCATTTCAACTTTTTTGGATTCTTGCTCTTGCATGCCTCCCTCTTCCTTTTTCCATTGCCAGTTCCCCGATGACAGTTACTGGCTTTCCTGAATGGAATCCTGGCCCTACCCTCACCCCCACCCTCACTTTCAGTCCGTTTGATACCCTTTGGCTCCTTTTTTGGCAGAACAGTCACTGTCGTTATAAAGTTTTTTAGATCAATAAAGTCAGTGGCTTTCAAAAAAAAAAAAGAAAAGGAAGAACGAAGGAAGGGAGGGAAGGAGGAAAACATGCAGAGAGAAAGGAAAGAAGGAAGAAGAAAAGGAAGGAGGAAGGAAGAGAGGGATCACTGATTCAGTTTATCACTGGACAACTTTTTGGCTCGCCAGTAACGAATAACTGAGTTTCTTTTGCTACCCAAGTACTTACCAGAGAAAGGGCAAAGGAACCGAGAGCCTCAGTGGCCTGGTTAGTGGCACTGGCCCCTTTGAATTTTGTTTATATGGTCATGATGAACAGATCAATCTCAAATCAGGTAGATTTTGATGTAAGACCAGCAACTTACTGAATCTCACAATGTACTGAGCTGCTTTTACTTTTTTTTGGTAAATTTTTATTTTGAAATAGTTTCAAATTAGGAAAAGCTGCAGTTGCAAGAACGGTGCCAGGAACTCCCATAGACTCCACCAGATTCCACGGACTTCCGTTTTCTGCCTTATAACAGTCTCGCTTGCTCTGCACACTCTCTTCCCCTGCACCTTTGGAGAGTAAGTCTGAGACATCATGTCTCTACCTCTAGGTGCACTTTGCCAAGAATAAAGAAAAGTACAACAATCAAAATCAGGAAATTTACCATTGATAAGATATTTTCTCATCCACAGGTCTGGTTTTTTTTTTTTGGAGACATAGTCTTACTCTGTCACCCAGGCTGGAGTGCAGTGACTCAATCTCGGCTCATTGCAACCTTCGCTTCCCAGGTTCAAGTGATTCTCCCGCCTCAGTCTCCCAAGTTGCTGGATTACAGGTGCCTGCCACCATGTCTGGCTAATTTTTTGTATTTTTAGTAGAGATGGGGTTTCACCATATTTACCAGGCTGGTCTGGAACTCTCAACCTCAGGTGATCTGCCCACCTGAGCCTCCCAAAGGGATTACAGATGTGAGCCACTGTGCCTGGCCCCACAGTTTATATTAAATTTCACCAATTATCCAAATAATATCCTTTCTTGCCATGAGCTGCTTGGTACAGAACCGAACGGATGACCACAAGCTGCATTGGCCCCTCTCGTTAGCTTCCTTTAATCTGAATCAGCTTCTCAGCCTTTCTTCACATTCCTTTACCATAACATTTTTGAAGACTATGGGCCAGTTACTTTGCAGAACATCCCCTGATTTGGGTTCTTGTGATGTTTCTTGGTGATCAGATTCAGGTCAGGCATCTTTTCTGGGACCCTATGGAAGTGATGCTACATCCACCCCAGTGCGTCGTATCTGGAAGCACCTGGTCATTTGTCATCATATCGGTGAAATTAGTCTTGATCACATGGTTCAGGTGCTGTCTTCCGGGTGTCTCCACAACAAAGTTACTCTTTTGTCTTTGTATCTAATAATTTGTAAGGAGATGCTTGAAGGCACATAAATATCCTGATCTTAATTGTGCCCTCACCCATTAATGTCAGCATCCACTGGTGACCTTTCTGTCTCTCTGTTATCCCTTCTGTAATTATTCTGTGGCATCCTACCATGAAGGTTTCCCTGCCCCCATTTGTTTGCTTCCATGGACTTTCGTTCCTTGTAATGTTCCATCATCTCCAAATTCCCCTCCACGCCAACCCCAGTCTGAAGACATCAGCAACAGGCTCGACCCTAACATCTCTTCCAGGCTGCTTGGCCACTTCCTCTTAGAGTTAGAACAACCCAGAAGGATGGAAGTTCACTTAATTCAGCACAATGCTTTTACAGAGAGCGTGGCTGAGGCTGAAAAGAGGGAACGGAAATGCCGAGAGGAACAGCACCATGGCGGAGCGTGGGCTCCTGGCCTGGTACTTGCAGCTGGGGAAGCGTCCCTGGGAGCAGAGCTCTCTGCAGTCACCAGGACTCACCTGTGTCTTAGCAACAGTGGTTCTGGTGCCGTACAAGATGGAAACTCCTCGGGTACTGCCCTTGTGTTGTTCCCATCTGTGTCCCGAAGGGCCACATCACAGACTGTCTAATCAGAGACACAGAGACATGTTGGGCAGATGAATGAATACACACATGACTTAAATTCAAGAGGATCCAACCAGTGCCTGGGCAGAAGAAACCCACAAGAAGGCAGAGGTGTGTGTAACAATAGAAGGCACGTGGCTTTCTATCGGCTGGTGATTGGTTTCTAACTAGCTAGGAACCACCTGCAGAGGATTATCAGGGTCCACTCCCAGAAACAGCAGCAAAATTTAGCTCGCCTCTGAGATGCATAAGAGGTAACATTCAAAATCGTTCCTCGAAAACTCAAATAACAGGAAAGCACATTCAGCAAACATTCTTCAGGCTTTGGCTTCCTCGCTGAATATGACAACTATGGATTTTATTCTCTCTAAGGTCCCGCCCCTTGCTGTGAGTCTAGGGTCTAGAAGTGTCATCTACCCAGGACCTTACCAGCTTTAATTAACGCAGCGTTTCTTATGTAAAACCAAGAAAGAATGAGCTCTAACAGTAGAAGCAGAAACAGAATCGTGATTCATGATTTTTCTAATTGTTCTCCCTTCTGCACACTTGAACTTCCCCTCCCCTGCCTGGAGTAACATATGTTCTACATACACGTGGACAAATAGAGTACACACGAGCATAAATGAGCAGGGTTGGGCGGAGTGTGAGGGGAGCTGATTCCCGGCCAGCTGCTCACTGTTTTCCCACTGTGGGTGTCTCTCAGCACTGGGTACAGAGGAACAGGATCCTGTTATCTTGCTCGCCAGCACAAATGTGCTATAAAACATCCATAAATTCCTTGACATTCCAGTGACCTTCGTGGGGTCTGGAAGAGCCACATTTCACACCAAAGATGGAGCTGTAAATATTCTATCTGTGCAGTAAACACCGCACTGACGCTGGCACCTTGCTCATGTCCTCTGTGCTGCCACCTCTCAGAGGAGACAGATTTACTGCCATGGAAAATTCCAGCCCCAAGGCAGGTGGCTTTGCCACGACCCAGCATCTCAGCATCTTGCTTCCTGCTGTTGTCTGTTCTCATCATACACACACACACACACACAAACACACACGCACACACACTCACCACCTCTCATGACTATAAAGCTTGGAGCAGGAAAGCCCCCGAGAAAATTATCCTGCAGCATACCACACGGGTGTTAGCAGGTTTTTCCAGGTGGTAGGCTTTAGAATGATTTATATTTCATTCTTTTTTTTTTGCTCATCTGAATTTTAATTTTTCTGCAATAGTCAAGTGGGGCTGGGTGCAGTGGCTCACGCCTGTAATCCCTGGACATTGGGAGGCCAAGGCGGACAGATCATTAAAGGTCGGAGTTTGAGACCAGCCAACATGGTGAAACCTTGTCTCTACTAAAAATACAAAAATTAGCCAGGTGTGGTGGTGGGCACCTGTAATCCCAGCTACTCTGGAGGCTGAGGCAGGAGGATCACTTGAACCTGGGAGGCGGAGGTTGCAGTGAGCCAAGCTCATACCACTGCACTCCAACCTGGGTGACAGAGTGAGACTCTGTCTCAAAAAAAAAAAGTAAATCGGGTCTTATATATTTGTTTATTTTTTTAAATAAAGTATTTATGGGCAATCGCTCCCTAGGAGAAAGGGACTCTAGGAGGGCCAGGATGCCACCTCCAACCCCAGCTCCTGCAGCTCCTGGTGGGTCACTTGGCCAGTTGAGTGGCCCAGGCTAATCCTCCCTTCTTGGAGGGGTAAATGGCGGATCTGGGAAGTGGGGAGACCTGGTGGGTTCTTGGCCAAGCAGAACAGTTATGATGATCATTTGTTTCTTATGGCTGAGAGGGACCCTAGGGCTTTTCAGAATCTTCTCCTCCTTCTCTCAAGACAGCCCTGGCAATGTGGGAGGTCAGTGCTGACCCACAGCACCACCCGTCTCCCATCCACCCCGAGCCTGTTCATCCAGGGTGTGGAGTGCAGGACGGGAATCACTAAGATATCAAACAGAAAAGGCTGGACACCCCCCTCCACCCTGCAGCCTATGTCCAGCCTGCAGGAGGGTCAAAGGTAGGGGCTGAGGTGGGGCTGAGTCAGGGCTGAGCAGCATCTCTTGAGGGAGTGAGGGGCAAGCAGGGGGCATGATTGTGGGGCCCTCTGAGCTGCTGGGGAGGAGCCCATGGCTCCCGAGTTCCTAGCAGGGCCCTCTCTGAAGACCCCCAAAGGGAATCAGCTTTGGATTGACAATGGGGAGGACAGGCATGATGTGGCTGGGTCTTCGGGGGTGGCAGAGGGTAAACCCACTTTAAGGGGCTCATCTTCCATGTCCAGGCCTGCCTCATACTTCATTGGCCATCACAATGACCCCAAGAACCAGCTTTTAGGATTCCCAGGTAGAGATTCAGAAACAGGCTCTAGAGGGGATGGGCTTTGCCCAGAGACTCCCAGCTCAGTGGGGTCAAATGTACAGCAGAATCACCCCATCCCACTGTCTGCAGCCCCTCCTCTGCTCCTTGTTGCCTCCAGGGGGCCAGCACAGACCCCCCACAGCCACCATGGTGTGACCCAAAATGTATGAGGAGCAGCTCCTTCCAAACCAGGGGCTCTCAGGGAGCACAGGGCAGCCTTCCAGGGGCCAGGTCTTGCCCAGCTGGGAAAATCTCTGTGCTCCCAGCTGGGCATAGCAGAAAGAGAGAGAAAAATGGAACAACTCCTCTCAAAAATAAAATCCCAGCCTCCTCAGTCCCAACCTTTCCTCTCCAGAGAGGAGGACTTCACTTTGCCTGCCCACCCACCGCTACCCAAGAAATCAAGGGTTAACCCTAAGTGCCCCATCCCGGCTCCCCGCTGTGGCTCCCCACCCCCTCAACTTATTTCTGCAATAGTAATTAAGTTCCTGACAGAGAGGGTTCGCTGCCCTGAGCTCTTAGCTCCATTTATTGATGAGCCATTTCTCAGAAGTTCATTACCATCCCGAAGCCGGGGATGGGGAACTGGGTCTCTGTGGGT